CTCAGGGTGACGAGCGGAGTGGCAGTGCCCCTCCAATGTATGCGTTTTAAAGCTCATTATAAAAAAAAATCTTTTGTAGTTTCTGCAAATAGATCAATAGACTTATCATGTTTTATGTGTAACCACAAACCAGAAGTAAATAATATCCTAATATAGTATAGTAAATATGGAATGGGCTCTCTCTAGAAGTATTTCTTTGCGCTATGACATAGGGTTCTTTAAAAGGAGATTAAACAAGCCTCTTAAAGACTAGCAACACGTAGGCAGTTCATCTGACGTTGCAAATGTTCATAGGCGAGGATGACCACCACCCATGAAGTGGCTGTCTGCTTGTTTCCCTCGTTATAAAAACCATCCATCTCAGCCTTTACATGTGCAGACCTAAGACATAATATACCTTCTCTAAAAAGTTGTTGTGATATTATATATTATGATGTCAAAATTGTACTTTAAAGTTGAGAGGGAACATTATGTTTGTCCTTACAGGCAGCATAATGTCATCCTTATTATTCATGCTCTAAAATTTGTCTGTTGTTAATCATGGTCTAAAAACAGACCACGTATGGGTATATAGATTAAGCCATCCATGTACACCAAGTCATTCTCATAGCACCCATACAGACCAAGCCACCCACGCTATCTTTAAAATAAAAACAAAAATAAGTATAAAACTGATTTGCAGATATCAAAAGAAATATGCTTGATATTAGAACAAGTAGTGTGCCAACTTCCGACCCACACGAGGCTGGCAGTGTTCAAGTGCCACAGAAGTTGCACATTATACTCTCGTTTGTATCGGCGGCTGTCAATTTGGCGCGATTTATGCGCCCCGCCTTCGCACTACAAACTTCTCTCGTTATTCCCGCATCACTATAGTTGTTTGCAACTTTAACTACTTCCAAAGGGGTCGTGTGTCATGTTCTTTAAGTATCTTCCTTGTTAACTCTTCAATTGTGTTTTTATTAAGGTTTGATTGGTATCATGCGCCGTGTTAAACTTAGTATTGTTATAAGTAAACTTTGATTACATTACAATAAAACTAACTTTCCCTTAAACTAGTTTACCGTGAAGAAATTTTGAACTTATTTGAAAATAAGAAGGATTTGAAGGATTGTTTAATTAATGTTTTTTTTTCTAGTGCGTACATTTTTATTTGCCAAATATGAACCACTAAAATTTCTCGGCATAATATTTAACTATAAATAAATAGCACGTGTTTTCGTTACATTACTTGAATTTTCAGGCCATACTACTACTCCACAATTTGTGAAAGTTTATAAATTGTACACACCGCCATCTAGCAATTAAGTAAGGAACTGAACCACATCAGTGTAGAGCATGTAGAGTACCATAATCAACAAGTACCATTTTGTAGTTGTTTCCTAGTCACTTTGTTGGAATCCAATAGATGGCACTAAGATCGACACTAAAAACCACCCTAACTTTTACTAATTTTGGAGGAATCCAATTATTTCTAATTTAAAAGATAAAAAGCGTGACAAATCAGACGGAATTCTATTAAGAGGAATAGGATGTAGTAGATTGTGGACATTTCCCGCATAATAACATTGTACAAATTGCTCCAATTATGAGGCCTAATTAATTAAGTTTTCGTCCCTATAAATCAAGATTACAGACGTCAGTTTTAAAAATCGACTGTTTCAAAGTGCTACAAATTTATCGTTCCTTTATTTTTATTCCATGTTTAAACTCCTTTGTGGCCTTCTCGTTTTAATATTATTAAAAAAAATTAAAATAGTGATTCAAGTTAACCCCACCAAATCGATTTTATCGCATTGAAATCAATAAGTAAAATACAATAACATTATATACAATTATCACTTATTTAATGTATGTAATTAAATATATGCGTTTCATCATTTTAGCTATCAATAGCTGTAATTAAGTCGAACTAGTTGGTTAAGTTATTTTCATACCGATGTTAGCTATGTACCTACTTGTTAACTTATTAACTAAATACCATTAAAGTCATTAAAAATCAGACGTTGTATCAAATTGTATCAATTCAATTTATTCAAGAGTCTCCACTTCAAGAGTTATACTTTGCATCCGGTCATTATAGAACCGTGCATTATGAATAAATAAATCTCACCTTCATTGTCAAAATTGTCTGTTTGTCGTGCACTTGTAATTTGATAGATATAAGACACTATTAAACTTTACACCTTAGAATATGTTGCAGTTTTACCTTGCTCGGTATGGAAATCTGCTGTGATTTGAATCCAAGGAGCTTTAACGAATCTGTGATCAAAACAGCCTCACGGAAACTCGGAGTCCTGAACAAGGTGCGACGTTTTTTCACGCCGGACCAGTTATGCCTGCTGTACAAAACACAGGTCAGGTCTTGCGTTGAGTATTGTTCGCACTTATGGGACGGCTCCGCCAAGTACCTACTCGATGCCTTGGATAAATTACAGCGTCGTGCTACTCGAATTATAGGCGACGAAGACGTTTCATCACGCCTTGAAACTCTGCAACTGCGTAGAGATGTTGCTTCGCTTAGCGCCTTTTACCGCATGTACCATGGTGAGTGCTCTGAAGAGCTGTTCAACCTCATCGCCCCTTCCCCGTTCCTGCTCAGAAGCACGCGTGCTGGCCTTCGTAGTCACCGTTTCACTACCTGCCGCATTCCATCGCGTACTAAAAGGTTCGGTGGCTCCTTTCTCTGCCGCACGGTTGACAAATGGAACTCCCTTCCGGCACATGTCTTCCCTCCCTCTTATGATATGGGGTCCTTCAAACGAGGCGTGAAGAGGCATATTGTAGGCAGGCAGGGTGGAGGCGGCTAGTGCAGTGAGGATTCCATCGCTGCACTAGGTTCCTTCGCGTTTGGATACCACTTTCCACTTAACATCAGGTGGAGTGGAGTCATTTGCCTGTCATGTATTAAAAAAAAAAATGGAGTTAATGATATGAGTTTAAATTTTCAATGTAAGTATAATGACAAGACTAGGATTGACACGATAAGAAAAAGAAGAAGCCTAATGAATTAAGTGACCCATGAGTCTAATTTTAACATTTTTGTTTAAAAAACCGACCTCAAAAGTTCGTGGAATTAATTACATGCCAAGTTTTATTGAAATCAGTTACCGGAAAGTGCGCAAAACCGGATTCGTCCCTTAGTTTGCTACCCCTAGAGGTGAAATACTTTCTTTAAATTTAGATAGAACCAACTGAAGTACCCACTTTTCAACAAAATCGTGTCACAAATGCTGAATAATCGCGTAATACACATACAAAAAAAAAATACAGTCGAAATGAGAATCTTCTCCTTTTTGAAGTCGGCTAACAAACAGCCGATATTAATACAAATTGTGAAGAAATGATGGGTGTTTATGGTCACAGTTTATACAAGATTTAATTATTCCTTTAATAACATTTTATCTCATATTAAGTGAAAAAATACAATTATTTATGAAAAACAATACATATTGCAAATTACACTAAGACAAAGCCACGGGCAAAGCCTATGCAATACATTATTCAATTAAGCTGATAACACTTAAGATGATTACTGGTAATAAAATGGTAATGTCTTGTTTCCGAGCTGAGCGCGTGGGTATCCGAGATGTTCGGGTTGACCCAACCCCAGGTCAAACTGGTGTTATGTATGCGTACATGCAAATGTAGGTCTATATACATACAACGTGAAATGCTAAACGAAGATCAGCACCAAATAGTTGTTCTGCGTCTTAATTTTGATTCAAAACGGAATCGATCCGATCGGGTAGTCTCGAAATCAGAGGGGTTTCTGAGCGAGAAGATGAACCTGATTCCTACTATGTCTTTCTAATTCGTGAGTTAAATCAACTGTTGTTCCGATTTGAAATCAGTTTGAAGCCAGTTGTGAATCGCAAGTCTACCCTCGTAACGAAAAAAGGCACAACTATGCGTACTTTATACAGCAGTTGTGCTTTTTTTTCGTTCCGAGGGCAGAATTATGCGCCTCGACTCGGAAAAGGCGCAGTTTCCGATCTGGAGAGGCAATCAAAATCAAGCTGCTGAACTTATGTAGTTAAAGAGAAGTTGGTCATACACCCAATCGCCAACCAAGGTTGTTCAATGACACAATTATCATTATCACTCATCTACATTTACTACAAAAGTGGCATATTTTTTCTTTTATTTACATTGTCACTCGCGCTAATTTATTTTTTTTGTTACTCCCAGTGACGGGACGAACGAGTCGTGTGGCTTACCCTTAGAAAATACGGTAACAAGACTACAATTACTGCTCAAATTGTAAATCAACCCGTTTAAAATAAGATTTTATTATAGAACCATTTGTCGAATATGAAATAAACGAATATCAAGTCTTTGAAATAAAATTGTGGTCATCGCGAAACTTTGTGTGCCAATATAGATCAGAAAATACTAGGATTCATCTTGCTGAGAATTATAGCAGATACATCACCGTTCAAAAGTATTTCCAAGAACAATCAGTGTGCTACCGGCCAATTGCTCGTGTAGCCAAGTTAACATGGCGAAATTGGATGACACATTTTGTGCGTAACTGCGACGATTACAAAACGACACCTTTAACCTTGCGAATGCTTTTTGCGTTGAAGATGTATATTAAGACAAAATTTTATGACTTCTCGTGTTACATTTCGGAAACTATCTTCTTAAGTTTAATAAAGCCCAATGATATTTTCTAAAACTTCTACTTTTATACAAATATAACACAATAACAACAATAAAGATATTACTAATAATTCCTTAAACAAAAATATATTATAACTCAACAATAAAAAGTACTTACGTAATTTATAGAGCTGCAATTAACAAGTCCTATTCACCCTATTCAACACCCCTAGTCGAGCAATTATGTATTTGTCTATTAATTAAAATCGACGAAAAAATAGTATCACTTCAAAAGGGATCGACGGTTAAGTGTTGGGAGTTTAATAAACTGCTTAATTAAGACTGAGTTCGCCCGGAGAGGGCGCAGTACGGTGCGCGCGCGCGTCCTGATCTCCCGACAACATGCTGTCGCTCGGGATATTTCTCTTCATACTTTCTGTGGAAGGTGCCCGGCCTTTCAACATCACACAGCTCATAGTTCCCCAAGTCGTCCCTTCAAATCAAGATGAAGTGGAAATCGAGTGCCGCTATGACGCGAATTTTACCATTCTCAACTGGTTCAAAGGTCCAAATGAATTCTTTCGTTACAAACCAGGTGCTGCGCCTAGCACCCGCTCCTTCCCCATTCTTGGAGTCGGAAGAGTAGAGATGTTAGCCTGTGGCCCGACAGTCTGCAGACTCAGACTGGGATCGTTAACCGAAGAAGCCACTGGATTATACAGATGTGATATTGAACGTGATATCCCGCCTTATGAGTTCAAAACTCTTTCCGCATATATGCAAGTACATGGACATGAACATAGAAGACCATTACTCGAAGGATTGGCTGAAGAATATGGAGACGGAGATGAAATACAAGCTTATTGCAGAGGAGCACCAGATTCAGAAATCCGATGGTACATCAATGGTTACGAAATGGAAGATATGAGAGGATCACTGAAATTGAAGAGAAAGAGTTCTAGGTTCATATTTTTGGGTATACCTCCCATGGTTACAGTGCAATGTGCGGAATTCAGGTTCGGTAAATTATCAGGTTCAAAGGAAGCCAAAGCTCGTTGGAAAGATATGAGTAACAAAGATGAGAGTGCACAGGAACAGAGGAATTCTGTTATACCAAAAAATGCTTCGTATATCAATAGCGCATGTTTGTATTTAATAAGCATGTTATGTTTTATTTATTACTAACTAAGATATATATCATAGTCACCTTTTAATATAGAAAAGATGTAACATACTCTTGGTTTTCACAAAAATGTTCCTCTAATAATTTTAAGAAATTATTTTAATACACAGATTTACTGGAGCTCATAACTGTAGTTAAAGTTAATGTAATAATAGTTAAAGTAATTTACCAAACGTTTTTCAGTTGTATTTATTTCATCTACTAATATTGTAGAGGTGGTTGTGCAGTAGGTATATTGTGTAAGAGTTACTATAGAATATCTGACAGCACATATTAACCCATAATTAAATACATTGCGCAATTAAATTAATCTAAAAACAAATGTATTAATGCATAATTTTGCAAATTGATCATTTTTTCGCTTCAACCCTTTCTGAGGTTGGCGCTTTTGTTTCGTCAATAAATCAGTGCCTCCAGTGAAAAACGGAATAAGACGAGTTATGCCCTTTTGTTTTTATTGCACCATTGGCTTTAGCGTGGCCGATTACATAACATATCAAAAGGTCATCTCTCTAGCAGTCTCCTAGCGTCGTTTTATTTATTGCACTAAGGCCATAACTCATTGTTTCTAAAGGCATTATTTTAGTTATAGGACCTTTTTATTAGTCTAACGGTATAAGTGCTTTCAACTCAAAAAATACATGAAAGTTTAACGAGTAACTACAGATATATTTTTACACAAAGAACTTTTCGTATTGTTCCATAATGACGGGGAAGAACAGTAGGACCAAAAGCGACTATTGCCTTATTCCACAGTGTACATAAAGGTATAACTGAGCATTCCGTTTGTTCCACTGGAGACGATTGGTCATACCTACTTGCTTTTTTTTTATTTATTTCTGGCCATGGAAACAAAGTCCTTCAGCCGAAAACATAAAAATAAGTTTTTCTGTAAATATGGCCGCCACAAAGAGGATAGGCAATTTAAGGCGGCGTGCTTGGATTGCCTCGGGATTCCTTAGAACGGGCCGATACGGGTATTTTAGTTTGAGATTCGTATAATTTCGCGTTTTAATATTCGATTAAAGCACAATAGCACTATCCTATTCCACTTTAAACTAGATTTCACAAAATAATTGAAAGTCAAAATAAAACGACACTTTTCCCTCCAAAAGGCCCAGAGCGAATCGTACCTACTTGCGACTGTACTGTGTTGCTATTGGTTAATAGTTCGCAACAGAATAATTCTCGTTTTATTCCTTTAACGATTTTATGTCTTTTATCAATGTGGTTAGTATCATAAGTATTGTTATAGCCATACAACAGTCGCAGTTAAGGGAATAAGTCGAATTATGTCTTAAAATTTGTTTACTAAAGCCGTGTTTTTACCGATAGCAATACATAAACAAGAACGCAATTCGAAAAAAATTTTAAAAATATATATAAAATCTTAGAATAATAACGCATAGAATGATAGTTTCATATCAAACGAACTGTCACAAGTGAGGCAAAAACCAAATTCATGTAGGCGTAAGCAACTTGTAACTACGCTCGTCGGCACGCACACAAATATACAAATAATGATGCCATGGAATAACATTTCCCTCAAAAGTGGGGAAATTGTATCTTGCTTAACTCATCATTAAGTTAAAGGTGCCTACAGATTTGCCCGACATTGTCGATCAGGTGC